CTTTTCCCTTGCCCACTGATGTAGTCACTCCATCACAGAAGGCCCCTCGGTTGGTCAGGCAGGACTTGCCCTTGATGAAGCTGTGCTGACTGTCTCAAACCACTTCCCTGTCCTCCATGTGCCTTAGCAGAGCTTCTAGGACAATCTGCTCCATGATTTTCCCAGGCACAGAGGTGAGACTGTGAGGCTGGCAGTTCCCTGGGTCCTCCTTTCTACCCTTTTTAAAGATGGGTACTATATTTCCCTTTTTCCAGTAGCCTGGAACTTTTCAAGTATCATGGGGAGTGGCTTGGCAACTGCATCAGCCAATTCCATCAGGACTTGGATGCATCTCCTGGCATCCCAGAGACTCATGCACAACCAGATTCCTCATGTGGTCATGAAGCTGATCTTCACTAACAGTGGGAAGCATGTTGCTCCCTAGCTCCTGTCGTGTGGTCCACTCACTCGAGAGGTGTGGGAAGAGAGGCCTCAGTGAAGACTGAGGTAGAAACATTGTTGAGTACCTCAGCCTTCTCTTCAGCTGTTTTTACTAGTGTGTCAGCCTTGCTTGTCATGAGTGGTACAGTTTGTTTGACCTTCCTTTTTTGGCTGAGATATCTACAGGGGCACTTCTCGTTCTTTGCATCACTTACAAAGCTGTGCTGCAGCTTTGCCTTGGCCTTTCTCACCTCATCCCTATAGAGCCAGGCTGTATCCCTATACTCTTTCCAGGACAGTGCCCTTGCTTCCACTGCCCATGTGTTTCCTTCTTGCCCTTTAGTTTAACCAGCATGTCCCAACCCAGCCACACCAGTCTCTTGCCTGCTTTGCCTGATCCGATTTCTTGCTCCTGGGAAGCTCAATCTCTTGCACTCTGTGCAAGTTGTCCCTAAAGATCTACCAGGTCTGTACTGCTTCCTTGGCCCTGAGGGCACTTTCACAGAGGGTCCTATTTACTAACTCCTTGAAGAGCTGAAAGCTGGCCTTCCTGAAGTTTGTGTTCCTAAAGTTGAGTGGCCTAACTTTACTGCTGACCTGACCCATACCTCTCAGGACTGCAAACTCCACCAGCACAGGATCACTGCAGCTGAGGCTGCCTCCAATATTGACATCCCAGAATAGCCTTCTTGTGTGGGTGACCACCAGGTCTCATATCACATCCCCTCTGGTAGGGCTGGCTATTACATGGGTCGGGAAGTTACCCTGCACACATTCCCAGAGTCTCCTGGAATGCCTACAGGCACCATACAACTTTCCCAGCAGATCTCAGGATGGTCCAAGTCTCCCTGCAGGACAACAGCCTGTAAGCACAATCCTTCCTGTAGATGGAGCAAGAAGGCTTTACCAACAGGCTCCCCTTGAGCCCCTGGGTTTTGTGAGCACCCACAAAAGTTTCTCTTTGCTGCCTTGGACTCTGGTTCTTGTCCCAGGTTTTCAACCTGCTCGTGTCTGTTCCTAAGAGACAACTCTCCACACTCAATCCACCTCTTGGTGTAGAGGGCAACCTGACCACCTCTCCTTTCTCCCCTGTCCCTTCTAAACAGCCTGTAGCCATTGACAGTCACACTCCAGTCATGGGATTCATCCTACCAAGTTCCAGTAGTGGCAGCAAGGTCATAGATTTCCAGCAGCACAGTGACTTCCAGCACCTCCTGTCTGTTCCCTATACTGCCTGCTTTGGGGTAGAGGCACCCCAGCTGAGCTGTCAGCTGTGTCATCTTCCTAGAGAAACATCCCTTAATTCGTGTGAGATGTTTCACTGGTGTTTCCCTGTCAGGGATTCAACCTGGAAGAAATTCATCTCGCAGTTGTTTATACTTCAGCAGATCATGCCAGGACCATGCTGTAGACATTTATCTGGCTGGTGACAGATGTCTCCAGCAATAAGAATTGGGAGAATCTACTCTAGAAGTGTGACTGCCATTTTTCATCAGTCATTCACCAGATCACCCAGGCCCTCCAGCAAATCCTGCAGGACCTCCAAGACGATGAATGTGTTAATCCAAGATTTGAGGCACACACTGATTATATGCGATAATATCTGAATTAATGTAGTGGAAAAAACAGTGTTCCTTTTTCAGTTTTTGTTTGGTCAGCTTGTTGGTTGGATTTTTTTAATTTCTTTATAAAAATGCAGCAATCCATTTGTGTTTTTGATTAGTGATGTGGTTTTTCAGGTATTTAGCTATGGTATATAGTTGTCTCTGGCTCAATGAAAATCTCTTTCCCAGGTGCTACTGAATTAGAGACTGCATATTATGTGGTACTTGTCAGCACTGGATTTCATTTATCACATTATCACCTCTCATAACATGCCAGAGATCATTCTGGAACCCTGCAGCTTATTTTTCTTTTTACTGTCCTGAATAATTCTTCATTATTGTCAACACATTATTTTCCACTACATTTTAGGAATACACTCAACAGCACAGGTCCTTCTGGGTCATTGAAAACCTGACCATTTATGGCCTCCTTGCTGTTAAATTATTAAAACAAAATATAAAACTCCTTATCTCAACAAAACTCAATTTCTGTGAGGATCTTTAGTGAGTGACCTATGAAAACCATGTACACTATAAACTGGAGGACCATTCATGACATGCTTGTAGACATTGCCAAAGAATACACAAAACCTTCTTTACCATACCTCTTATTTATCAGCAGCACTGCTGTTCCTTTCAGCACAGATGTCAGACTTACTTGCCCCACTGTTCCCTATATGCCTTCAAGACTCCCTTAGAAATACAACTCACACTTGTACAATTTCCTGTGCTTAGGTATCAAGGTTACTTTCAGATGCAGGCACCACATTTTGGTCTAGAGCTGGTAATACCACAGTAGAGTTCTGAGTAATTACCCCTCTGGTCCTGTTCATCCGTGGTTATTGATTTAATTGACAAGAAAATAATTTAACTTTTCTGATTTAACTCTACTGCCTTTTGGCACAAATCTAGCAGGCTTCTTGCTCCTGATGGGTTTAATGACCATAAGATTTTCATTCCTGTTTATCCCAACCTTTTAAAGCTTTGATAGTTTTGTATTTTTTTAATGCCGTAATTGGTACTATTAACAGCAGAAGAACTTTTAAATTTGTTTTAAAATTTAAACACTGTAATCTATAATCCAATAAATGAGTTGAGATGTTAGGGCATGGGTTGGACTCGATGATTCTGAAGGTCTCTTCCAAACTAGTAATTTCTGTGATTCTGTGAATATAATTTTACTCTGCTGTACACTGAAGAGAATGTTACTGCTGAGTTTAGTGACACAGTCAGAAAAAATACTCTTCCCAGCTTTCCTGATAGTCTAATAGCACTAAACGGGAAAAAGACCCACACAACCAATTAGGTTTCACATTACCAGACTTAACACACACACAAACCTACACAAGTTACACAATTCACATTAAATTACATACATTCTAAAAATATTTGAAGTTTGCTTTTCTTATCACATTTGGCAGCCTGCTGCATTTTGTCTTCCACCAATGGTCTAGATGGCAAAATTTCCATGAGTGTTTAGAGAAAGAGAAAAGCCAACCAAAAAATTCAGAGCTTTGTGGAATTGGATGTTGAATTAACAACTGAAAAATGCCCTTTTACACATTGAACTGAGGTGCTGTATTGTTCTCAGCCTTCCCATTCACAGAAGTCTGGAGAAATTTTAATTCCCTGGGACTATCCCTCCAGACAACAGTTATTTTCTGTATTAAACAAGAAATACTTGGAGACTGTGTGTAGAATCAGAAGTATTTCTAGAAAGTATATAGTAAATAAATGTCAACAAAAGCTGCTTTTCAGAGTATCAGTGTTGATTCCTCCTTGAGTTATAATCAAGAAATTAAGCCATAACTGCATGATTCATGAATAACTGGTGACGCTGTCTGTACAGTTTCCACCCTTGCTACAAGAGGCACCTTACACAGTAAGCCAGTTCCTCTGATTTTCTTTAACAAATAAACTGTTTATGTCCAGCACCAGTCCCATTCCAAAGCTTAGGACAGAGCTCTGACAGCAGCACCAGTCTGAGCTGCCTTCATCCCTGGTGACAAATAGAATAAATATGACAGCAGGAACATGCCTGCTAGAAGGAACACATCTTAAAAAAAAGCCATAGCAGTCATTCCAACAGCAGCCTGTCTTCATTTCCAATAACAGCTACTCCCCTGCCTCAGGACCACTCACTTGCACTACTTGTAAAGTCAGGCAGGTCTATGGAATGCAAACTTTACAATATCAACTTAATACAGTGGATATCTTAATACTAGTTCCCAATAATAAATTAAAAATCATCTTTTAATTATCAACTTTCAGAGGAAAGAAGCTGGTGAGCATTTGAACATGGAGCCAAGTGTTTCCTTTCCTTGGTGTGATTTCTCGAGACATGCAGCAGCCCAGGCATGGAACAGCTGCCATGACACAAAAGGTTCACTTTTTTAACTTTGCCACTCTTCAGGAGAGCATTACCTAAATTCAAAATTTTCACCCCAAAATGAAAATGCCTATAAATTGAGCTAAAAATCTGCATTTTCTCTGCCTCCCCCATTTCTTTTGCCAGCTTTCATCCTTCCATTAATTAGCCAGGGGGTGTTTTCTAACTCAATGACTTTCAAAGTAGCTTTTAAATTGTTCTGTCCTCTAATGGGATTGAATTACTTAAGGAATACACATCTGGTTCATCTTCAACATCTGTGACATCCATCAATCTGTTTTAAAAGAATTAGTTGGAAGATCTTCTGATAAAAGTGGGACCTCTTTCAGTGGATACAATATTTCCTATGGTTATGACCTGCAGTGAAGATGATGAGAAAGTTGCTTTTTCGTTAGGACTGACTCTTCCCCACACTGTCTGTGACTCAGGGCAGGGAGGGTACCCACAGCTGCCCCAGCCAGACGCTCAGCAGGGCAAGGAAGACCTGACCTTTTCCTGGTAGTGGGAGCTTCATGAACTTTTCCCTGCACTTGGGCTGCTGCCAAGTTGCCACACTCATTATTTATGCGCTAGTTTGCCCACAGTAAGTTGCTTGCTAAGTTCAGCTCCGCTGACGTAAGGCGAACACAGGGAATGCGTCGTCTGCAAAAACAGAACAAGAGTCTGGAGGAGCTGAGAAAGGTTTGTATGCTTGGGACTTCAAAGTCTAAGAGAGTTTTGATTTTGTACTGCACATGTGGAAGACTTAAGTGTAACATGGTAAGTTCTTTGAGTGCTGCCTGGTAATGTTACTCTAAATAACCTGCAATCCGACTGGCTGAAGGGGAAAGTTATTCTTTTCAGGTGCACGCCTGTATAAAAAACCTCTGGAGCGTGCATCCACCCACAGGAAACTTCCCATGCCCTCTGTTACATCAGGTACCGCCACACAGCTGCCCAGCTAACCTTGTCTGATGTGCCTTTGTGTTCCCTGCTAACTAACAATAGAAATACCTTTGTCTGAATTCTTGTATTTCAGGTCAGCTCTGTGAGCCAACAGAATCCAGCTCTCTGTTTCGTGCGGAGTGACGGTCACTGCTGGCTTGTGGTATTTGGGTGTGTTTACCTTGTAGATTCAAACACCACATAGATTTACTATGGTGATGTTCCTAACATTGACATTTCCTTTATTTCCTAGCGTTCGTATTGTTGGTGGAGGTTTTTTAAACTTAGCGCATGGTAACATGAGGAAATTGCAGGAGCTCTAAGAAACAGATGTTAATGTATGGTTCAAGTATCGTTAAGCCCAGTCTTGCAAAGAAAAGACTGCAACTGCATTTTCCATGTGAGAAAATGAAATTGGCTTTTGCCCAAGTATTTCAACTAACACAGACTACACTGAGCAGCTCTGTGCTGAGGTGAAACACATTTCAGCAGAGTTGTGTTTGCAGCTGAAGACCCAGTGACACAGCACTGCTCACTAACCTACTTTTTTTTTGGCAATGTAACTGGATATCAAAAGCTCTTTCAGAGTAATTGATTTCGGCAGTTTAAGAGGCACAAAGTTTATTCATATAGGGGATAAATTGCTATCTTAAGGTTTATAATCATCTTACAATTTGCCCCTTTAGAGTTACCTTATTAATTTCATGTAATGTTGTCAAATAGATATAGTTTTGAGAATTATTCTTTCTTCCTTAGGTTCTGAAGAAATTAAATGTGATTTTCTAAGTTTTGTTCACAACAGCTTAAGACTATTAATGAAGTCGATACTAGTTTGAAAACTCTGAAAGAATTTAGATAATTATTTCCCAGCAAGACTAATTTGGAAAAAAACCCTAGCTGCTAACATTCAGAAAGAGCCAGCATTTTTTAAGGAAACAGATTTTGCTTGCAACATTATCAAACTAAAATTCTTTCAGAGATACATAATTTTTAGTAAAATATAGATCGGAAAAATGTCAAAACATTTTGTAATTCCAGAAGAGCAGCAGCAACTTGAACATATTACACATAGAGAAAGCAATAATGCAAACACCACCTATTTGCAAGCATTTTCCTGTTGTTTGCATCTAAAAAAATATGTACTTTTAACTCCTACAAAATATGTCATTGAATAATTATGGCAGTAGAATGAACATGCATATATATACATGTATACACACTTATAAACCCCTTTCTGTTTAGCAAAAGCTACACCTTCACAAGATATTATTATAGTATCCAGAAGGTCCAGCCAAAAACCAGAGCGCAATGTGTCAGGTGACATACAAACACAGAGTGCATAGTGTTTATCCCCCCAAATCACCACCTAGGAGCTCAGGCAACTTATGTCTTAAGGACCACAGCAGCAGCTGGGTAACCACTGGTGTGGATTTCAGGCCTCCTGATCATTTTAATGGATTTAGCAAAACCAGCAACGTTCCTTTATAAATATTTAAGCAGACTCCCATTTTAGGGGAAGTCAAAGGACAAAGTGAGGGAAAGCATAACGATTTTTAATTTGAAAATGTAACTTTACATGTCTAATCGAATCTGAATGAGTGATAATAGGGTATATATATATAGAGTATGCATATATATCAGGATCAGAGTGATAATTTTATTTGCTGCAGGTACTTAATAGTTGATCAACAAATTTGTATTTATTAAGCATGTTTCCAAGCTGTTTTCTGGAATTCACTGCCACCCACAGCCAACTGAGATTGTGACCTGTTGTAGTAAGAACTTGTTTAAGCAAGGAAAAAAATATGGGGGGATCACTTTCCACCTAAACTGACAAATTAACAGTTTACTCATTAAACAAGCCTTCTGGTTTTATACATAGTAGAGTACTGGACAAGGTAACATTTTCTCCTGCTTTTCTGTTTCAGAATTGGCTTTTTCACTTAAATAGCACAAATCATGCTACAAGAGCCTTACAAAAAATCCCACCAAAACAAATACCTCAAACCCCCAAAAATGAGAATGTAGTGCTCTGTCAGTCTCAACATAAAATGTGCAGACTATTGTGTCTTCAACCAAATGTTTTCTGGCTGTATCCATCACCAGTTCTGACAGATTCTTCTCTTTTCATTATGTACCTTCCCAATTGTAAAAGTCTGAAAATATTTTTATAGAGATTTTCTAAAACATTAAAACATGGGCAGATTTTATTCCAGCTTGAGGCATGAAAAGGAGACATTGCTCAAATCCAGAAGCCTACTTTTAATTAAATGAAAAAAAAGCATTTTTGGTGGAAGGAGTCCCACTGTGACGTGGACTGTGAACATGGATGCACTCACTCATGTCAGGGAATTCAATGATTGCACCATTAACTTGTCTCCTACCTACCATTGTCATACTTCAAATCACACACAATGGGGAAAAATCAGATCTTGTTACTAGCCAGATGGAGGCCCTCTGAAGGAAAAGAAAAAAAAGAAAAAAAGAAAAGAAAAAAAAAAAAGGTGCAGAAATTGATTTAAAGCACTCTTTTCTGTGCCAGTCCAAAATCACTGCCAAGATGGAGCAAATGCAGTGTCAGAGTAATTAGAACAGAAATCCTGTCCTTGTGAATAAAAAGAACAGCAATAAGGAATATATCAGGTATCAGTAGAATTGCAATGGTGTCAATATCATGTGCAAATTAAATCACTCACATAAGTCAGCAGTCACACTGCTCCTTGAAAAACTACCTGCAGGCATTGCTAAACATCTTGGCCACTGCCAAAGATTCACCCCTTCCAGTCAGGATATCTAAAACAGCCTCCTGCAGAATGATGCAACCCAAATGATACAACACTTTGTCTGCAGTGCCTGTGGCGGGAGAGAGCAAATATGCAGTCTCAAAAATGAGCAGAATGGATAAATGTTTTCACTCCAGCCATCATGCTAGGTGGGAAAGGTGAACTCGTACAGCCTCTGGCCAGAGCAAGTTATGAACCTTTTGCTCTTTACATACAGATGTGTCTGTGTATATATCTATGTCTATACATATATATTTCCACATACTCACAGACATATGCATATACATAGGTGCGTCACTGAAGAAAACTCTAGTCAAGCAAAGAATTTCACTGACTGATGTCTCTCCAAGCAAATCTATATAAAGTCTATCAAGTCCTGTTCCTGCTTTTATTGATGTCAGCGGGTATCAATCAGTTCCTTCTTAGACTGGGTGCTGCCCTGTACACTGGGGATGCACAGAGAAAGTTATCCAAGAAGCCCTATGGATTCAGCCTTCTCACTGCGATGATTTCCCCACTGCCATCTGCATACTCTGCAGTTCACTGCATTTCAGTGCAACAGAGTTAGCAGTTCTGTGGGAATAGACAGGGAAGAGAAGGCAACTCAATGCAAGGAGACAAATCAAAAGCATTGACTGCAGCAAATGAAACAGTTTTGTCTCTGGAATCATAAGTCCCACGATTTTTTAAAATAGTAAATTACACATAAAAAGTCACAGATATTAAGACAGTTATCTTTCTCAGCTATTACTTCAACTTGTAAGAGCAGTTCAATTTTCAGGCTGACTAGTGGTATCAATTCAGTGAATAATGCTAAGCTTCTGCATAAATGATAAAATAAACACAACAATAAAAATGATAAAGGAGAGAGAATAAAAATTCTGACAGCATGATTACATTCCCAGAAACAGCTTGTACCACCCAGTGGAGTGGGCATGTCACATCTCATCCCATTTCTTCAATCCATCACTGAAAAAAGCCCCAAAAGGCCACCAAAGGCCACCTAAATTACTGTCTTTTTCCAGTCATATTTCATATGAACAGAGTGCCTGCAAGATTTTAAAACATTATTTTTCCCCTTCTGTTTCAGCTCTTTTTCGATGATCTCTGCACAGCAGCCACCATTCCCCAACAAAATTCAAAGAACAATGGACTGCAAATCCAAGGAAGAAGAAACCTGTGAAGAGCAGTATGACTCTGAAAACTGTACTTGCAGCTCTGAGCATGCGGAATCTGATGCAGGTTTAATCCAATTTAAATACTGCAATTGCTATGGCATGCTAGCATATCATACTTTGATTTTTTTCAGTCTTCAAATAGTAGATGTCATCATGTAACTTTTCTTTGATATCAAAATTTCCCCATTATTTCCCCTTACACTTGCATATATTATCAGTTCAAATCTACAAAAAATACCTATCTCCATGATTAAGAAATATATTTTAAAAGGTCTCTAGATTTTACTTAGACATTTAAGAATTATTTCTCAATTACAATCTCTTAAAAAAGAGATATGGTTATAAGCATTGATCGGGCTGGCACTATTGAAGCCACTGCATTACAGATTTCAACAGGCTAAACTGCTCCAACTAGCAGCTAGTAAGGATTCCAGGCAGGCATCAGTTAAAATCCCTGCAAGCCAGAGCAAAGCTTTCCCTTACACTTAATTCTACACCTATCCTTGCAACAAAAGTTCAGTCATTCAGAATAGTGTCCTTGATTTCAGTGAGATCAGATGGAACAGCCTCAGCACAAACCAGAAAAACCTCACCCACGAGCCTCCTTGCTATGCTGACACCCTAGGACAACTGTAGCACTGACCTGCTGAACTACGTTGTGTATGCCAACATAACACGTGTCTTACAACCCTCCTTCTGTGGAAGGATGCTTAAAAAAAACCACTAAGAAAGAGTTAGGCTTCCTTCAATGTAGGATGTAAATCCTAAGTCCTTAGGTAAAAAGCTTGCTGTTCTAGAGCCGCTGGCCTCACAAACGAAACCAACAGCACAAACGCCAAAATACAAGCTAACTTGATCCTGAAAGTCTTCCAGCTGTTATTAGCAGTTCTATATTTGAATTAGTAGCTTTTCCTAAAAGGTTCATTTCTATCTCTAAATTGGCCATGTGAATACCTAGAATGGCAGGAAATGACCATTGTTCCTTTCACTCCCTGGCTACCCAGACTCTGGTTTTGGACAGCAACTGGTCTTCACTGAAAGCGTGGTCAGGCATTGGAACAGGCTGCTCAGGAAAGTGGGAGAATCACCACCCACAAAAGTGTTCCGAAGATGTGCAGATGTGGCATTTGGGGACATGTTTTAGCAATTAACATAGTGCTGGGTTGGTTAATGGTTGGATTTAATGATCTTCCAGATCTTTCCCAACCTTAACAATTCTATGATTCCTGAGAGCTTTTCTACTCCATGTGCCTACATACTGTTTATGTCAAATACATTTTGCCCTTTAACAAGTTGCATATAAACTCATGAAATTCCAACTTTTCTCTCACAGGCTCACCGGTAACTCTTAAAATACTGCAGAACTGGGTTCCTAGAGTTTCACACTACTTTGATAAGGAGCACTATACATACGTTGGCCATCAGATTGTCATTCAGGAGTCCATAGAACACTTTGGAGCTGTGGTATGGCCAGGGGTAAGTACACAGGACCACACACAGAAAGCTCACGTGACACAAGAGCAAACCAGGACAGCAGCACACAAATATCAAGGAAGCTTTCTTACACGACACTTCTGACAATGGAAGCTTCCCTCTGCAGAATGAAGTCCTTCAGCAGAAAGCTCTGCCTTAGGGCAGTTTGCCAGTTCATGCCAAAAGGACTATGGCACCAAAGCATTTGTACATTGGATGTAGGGATTGAAAAAAAATTCAGTAAGGGAACTCAGGAAGAAACATTCAGCTTCCTCCATGCTTCCAATCAGTCACTGCTGGCAAGAAAATAACCAGCAGTACAAAAAGGAGGCTGAAAAATAAAACTGTGAGAGATTAAATAAATAAATGACATTGTAATGATTAAATACGCTTCCTTTAAAGAAAAGGCTGGAACAGTTTCATTACAGTATGGAAAATCATACATGTAAGCATTTATTTAAAAAGCTCACAAGAAAATGGCAGACAATTTCAAAACAATAGAGAGAGAGCATATGGGTGTGTGAAACAGTATCTTATTTTGAAATGTCAGATCATCAATTTGCACATTAATCAAGTGTCAGAATGCAGATGGTAAAACTCTCCAAGAAAATTGAGAGGTTGCACAAATTGGACCAGTGATTTATTAGCTGTCAGCTTTCCCAGAGCAGGTAGACAGTGTTGCATTATGAAAAGCACAAGAGTTAAAACAGTAACACAATTCTAAAGAAGAGAAGCAAAATGGGGAAGACAGTTTCTTTGGCATCAGTTTATGTTGTTAATAAACAGCCCACTTATATTCTACTATCTGACAAAATCTTTACAAAGGCCTGATAATATTTTCATACAGTGCTGCACTGTTTCTTTTCAAAGTTTATACTATTATTAATAAACAAGTGTCAAGTTTGTAAATAACCAATTTTTAATATTTTCTTTGCTAAAAAAATTGAAACAAAAAAAGCTTTTTCAAAAATCTCTGCCGAAGCCTAAATTTACTTTATGATAGTGGTAGCATAACACTTAGGATAATAAATCAGAACATTGCTTCCTACATATTGTTAAACTTTGCTGTTCTGACTGCATGGTTCACATTTTAACACTGCCTGTCCTTGTGGGTCCATTCCAACTCAGCTTATTCTGTGATTCTGTCTTGAGCTGTCAGAGGACTCATGCAGAAGTGTGTAGTAAATCCATATCACATAAACTTAAAAGTAAAAATAAACTGCTTTAATTTTTTAATATATAAAAAAACCAGGATACATCACAATTCTTCCCATCTTACATTTTTGTTACACCCTTCGGTGTTTCTCATTACACTAAAAAAACCAACACCCTTGTATAAAAACTTCTAATGAATTTTTGTGCAACTTNGACAAAGTGAGGGAAAGCATAACGATTTTTAATTTGAAAATGTAACTTTACATGTCTAATCAAATCTGAATGAGTGATAATAGGGTATATATATAAAGAGTATGCATATATATCAGGATCAGAGATATAATTTTATTTGCTGCAGGTACTTAATAGTTGATCAACAAATTTGTATTTATTAAGCATGTTTCCAAGCTGTTTTCTGGAATTCACTGCCACCCACAGCCAACTGAGATTGTGACCTGTTGTAGTAAGAACTTGTTTAAGCAAGGAAAAAAATATGGGGGGATCACTTTCCACCTAAACTGACAAATTAACAGTTTACTCATTAAACAAGCCTTCTGGTTTTATACATAGTAGAGTACTGGACAAGGAAACATTTTCTCCTGCTTTTCTGTTTCAGAATTGGCTTTTTCACTTAAATAGCACAAATCATGCTACAAGAGCCTTACAAAAAATCCCACCAAAACAAATAGCTCAAACCCCCAAAAATGAGAATGTAGTGCTCTGTCAGTCTCAACATAAAATGTGCAGACTATTGTGTCTTCAACCAAATGTTTTCTGGCTGAATCCATCACCAGTTCTGACAGATTCTTCTCTTTTCATTATGTACCTTCCCAATTGTACAAGTCTGAAAATATTTTTATAGAGATTTTCTAAAACATTAAAACATGGGCAGATTTTATTCTAGCTTAAGGCATGAAAAGGAGACATTGTTCAAATCCAGAAGCCTACTTTTAATTAAATGAAAAAAAAGTATTTTTGGTGGAAGGAGTCCCACTGTGACACGTGGAATGTGAACATGGATGCACTCACTCATGTCAGGGAATTCAGTGACTGCACCATTAACTTGTCTCCTACCTACCATTGTCATACTTCAAATCACACACAATGGGGGAAAATCAGATCTTGTTACTAGCCAGATGGAGGCCCTCTGAAGGAAAAGAAAAAAAAAGAAAAAAAGAAAAGAAAAAAAAAAAAGGTGCAGAAATTGATTTAAAGCACTCTTTTCTGTGCCAGTCCAAAATCACTGCCAAGATGGAGCAAATGCAGTGTCAGAGTAATTAGAACAGAAATCCTGTCCTTGTGAATAAAAAGAACAGCAATAAGGAATATATCAGGTATCAGTAGAATTGCAATGGTGTCAATATCATGTGCAAATTAAATCACTCACATAAGTCAGCAGTCACACTGCTCCTTGAAAAACTACCTGCAGGCATTGCTAAACATCTTGGCCACTGCCAAAGATTCACCCCTTCCAGTCAGGATATCTAAAACAGCCTCCTGCAGAATGATGCAACCCAAATGATACAACACTTTGTCTGCAGTGCCTGTGGCGGGAGAGAGCAAATATGCAGTCTCAAAAATGAGCAGAATGGATAAATGTTTTCATCATGGATAAAAACACAGCTCACTCCAGCCATCATGCTAGGTGGGAAAGGTGAACTCGTACAGCCTCTGGCCAGAGCAAGTTATGAACCTTTTGCTCTTTACATACAGATGTGTCTGTGTATATATCTATGTCTATACATATATATTTCCACATACTCACAGACATATGCATATACATAGGTGCGTCACTGAAGAAAACTCTAGTCAAGCAAAGAATTTCACTGACTGATGTCTCTCCAAGCAAATCTATATAAAGTCTATCAAGTCCTGTTCCTGCTTTTATTGATGTCAGCGGGTATCAATCAGTTCCTTCTTAGACTGGGTGCTGCCCTGTACACTGGGGATGCACAGAGAGCGTTATCCAAGAAGCCCTATGGATTCAGCCTTCTCACTGCGATGATTTCCCGACTGCCATCTGCATACTCTGCAGTTCACTGCATTTCAGTGCAATAGAGTTAGCAGTTCTGTGAGAATAGACAGGGAAGAGAAGGCAACTCTTTGCAAGGAGACAAATCAAAAGCATTGACTGCAGCAAATGAAACAGTTTTGTCTCTGGAATCATAAGTCCCAAGATTTTTTAAAATAGTAAATTACACATAAAAAGTCACAGATATTAAGACAGTTATCTTTCTCAGCTATTACTTCAACTTGTAAGAGCAGTTCAATTTTCAGGCTGACTAGTGGTATCAATTCAGTGACATAATGCTAAGCTTCTGCATAAATGATAAAATAAACACAACAATAAAAATGATAAAGGAGAGAGAATAAAAATTCTGACAGCATGATTACATTCCCAGAAACAGCTTGTACCACCCAGTGGAGTGGGCATGTCACATCTCATCCCATTTCTTCAATCCATCACTGAAAAAAGCCCCAAAAGGCCACCAAAGGCCACCTAAATTACTGTCTTTTTCCAGTCATATTTCATATGAACAGAGTGCCTGCAAGATTTTAAAACATTATTTTTCCCCTTCTGTTTCAGCTCTTTTTTGATGATCTCTGCACAGCAGCCACCATTCCCCAACAAAATTCAAAGAACAATGGACTGCAAATCCAAGGAAGAAGAAACCTGTGAAGAGCAGTATGACTCTGAAAACTGTACTTGCAACTCTGAGCATGCGGAATCTGATGCAGGTTTAAGCCAATTTAAATACTGCAATTGCTATGGCATGCTAGCATATCATACTTTGATGTTTTTCAGTCTTCAAATAGTAGATGTCATCATGTAACTTTTCTTTGATATCAAAATTTCCCCATTATTTTCCCTTACATTTGCATATATTATCAGTTCAAATCTACAAAAAATACTTATCTCCATGATTAAGAAATATATTTTAAAAGGTCTCTAGAATTTACTTAGACATCTAAGAATTATTTCTCAATTACAATCTCTTAAAAAAGAGATATGGTTATAAGCATTGATCGGGCTGGCACTATTGAAGCCATGGCATTACAGATTTCAACAGGCTAAACTGCTCCAGCTAGCAGCTAGTAAGGATTCCAGGCAGGCATCAGTTAAAATCCCTGCAAGCCAGAGCAAAGCTTTCCCTTGCACTTAATTCTACACCTATCCTTGCAACAAAAGTTCAGTCATTCAGAATAGTGTCCTTGATTTCAGTGAGATCAGATGGGTTAGGGTTAGGGAGATCAGATGGAACAGCCTCAGCACAAACCAGAAAAACCTCACCCACGAGCCTCCTTACTATGCTGAGACACCCTAGGACAACTGTAGCACTGACCTGCTGAACTACGTTGTGTATGCCAACATAAAACGTGTCTTACAACCCTCCTTCTGTGGAAGGATGCTTAAAAAAAAAACACTAAGAAAGAGTTAGGCTTCCTTCAATGTAGGATGTAAATCCTAAGTCCTTAGGTAAAAAGCTTGCTGTTCTAGAGCCGCTGGCCTCACAAACGAAACCAACAGCACAAACACCAAAATACAAGCTAACTTGATCCTGAAAGTCTTCTAGCTGTTATTAGCAGTTTTATATTTGCATTAGTAGCTTTTCCTAAAAGGTTCATTCCTATCTCTAAATTGGCCATGTGAATACCTAGAATGGCAGGTAATGACCATTGTTCCTTTCACTCCCTGGCTACCCAGACTCTGGGTTTGGACAGCAACT